GGATTCCCAAGGAAGGCTCTGCACCCAGCCCTGTGCCCTGGCCTGAGAGCAAAGCTAAATCTCAGCCTCATCAATGTTTAGTTGAAGAACACGTCCCTGCTGGGCAGACCAGTCATCTCTGAGTCTATGGGGGTCTGTGGGAAACCCCCAGATCCCTGGCAGTCAGGAGATGGGGGTTCAAATCTCTGCTCAGATCCCACTGGCTATGGGCCTCAAGCAGGTCTCTGGGCTTCTGTGACCTTCAGCATCCTCATCTTTAAAGCCAAAGAGTACACTCCTCCAGAACAAGCTGATTATGCAAATGAAACACAATAATGTGATGTTGTTGATGAAGCTGTAAAGCGCCACACAAATGGGATGGATTACTTCCATTATTCCTGAGTGGGATCCCACGTGTGCATCTATGGATCAAGTACGTCTGGGAATAGATGTGGGGGCTGCATTCTCAGCCTTCTCCCAGCCCCACCTGCGACTCCTCCATTATGGAATACTCTTCTGTCCTGTGAATACTGTGGTTTTGCGGTTCACCTTCACAGACGTCCCCTGAGGCAGGCACTGTCACTATGCGGGAGGCATAAGAATAACCCCTGAAGATGTCCACATCCCAACCCCTAAACCTAGGATATGTCCCCTAACATGGCAAAAGAGACGCTGCAGGTGTGATGAAGCCAAGGATCCTGAGATGGAAAGAGGCTCTAATAGTCTGGGCAGGCACAATGTCATCACAAGGATTCTTGTAAGAGGGAGACAGGAGGGCCCAAGTCAGAGGAGATGTGATGACAAAAGAGACTAGAGAAATGTGCCTGAAGATGGGAGAAGGGGCCATGAGACAAAGAATGCAGGTGGCTTTTAGAAAAGCAAGCATTCTCCCCTAGAGCCTCCAGAAGGAACATAACCCTGATGCCTGGTGCCACCTTAATTTTAGCCCCTTAAGACTCATTTCAGTCTCCTGAAACCTGAAAGATAATGCATTTGTGTCACTTTAAGGCACTAAGTCAGTTGTAATTTGTCACAGCAGCAGGAAAAATATATATCACCCTCCCCTTTTTTTTGAGACAGGCTCTCTGTTGCCCAGGCTGGAGTGCAGTGGCATGATCACAGCTCACTGCAACTTCTGCCTCCCAGGGTCAAGCAATTCTCCCACCTTAGCCTCCCTGGTAGCTGGGACTACAGGTGTGCACCACCATGCCAGGCTAATTTTTGTATTTTTTATTTTATTTTATTTTATTTTTTTGTAGAGACAAGTTCTTACTGGTACCCAAGCTGGTCTTGAACTCCTGGGCTCAAGTAATCTTCCCACCTCAGCCTCCCAAAGTGCTGGGATTACAGGCATGAGCCACGGCGCCAGGCCCCATATCATCTCCTTTATACAGATAGGAAACCTGAGACTCAGAGGGCTTCAGTTACTGCCCAACATTCACCGGTGAGTAAATGGCAGAGCCTGGACTAGAGCTCAAGCCTTCTGACAGCAGAGTCCTGGGATGGGAATGTCATGCAGAACACTGGGGCTGAGTAGAAATCCTGGAATGAGTTTCCTGTCACTAGAGGTGTTCAAGAAGAGGTTAGACGATTATTTACCACGGTGTTCTAGAGGAGATTTCTTTATCAGGTGTGTGTTTGCTCCAGGACAATGGTTTTCAAATCACTTAGCAGAATTATTCTCCCAGAAAAGAATTTCTCACTCCACTCTAATTAATCCCCTATTAACACCATACAGATCAAAGAGGAGCTTCTCTGTTTGGGCAGGATGGGCCCCAAGCCCTCAGAACTGCTCCTTCCCCATGTAGGCTGTGCTGCCTCTGCAGTGCCCCCACGCACCCCAGGATTCCACAGAATGGTGTTTGAAAGCACTGGCCTGGAAGGTTTCTGAGGTTCCTCTAGATCTGAGGCCCCAGGAACCTAAGGATTTCTCTGAAGACACAGACAGGAAACACGTGGCCTCCCTCAGACCTCCTGGAGCAGGGGCGGGAGACAGGGAAGGTTTAAGAGCTGTCGAAGACGCTACTAACGATTTTTAGTTACTTAATTCTCCTAGAGCTTTGACAGGTCCCCATAACTTAGGGTTTATTTGCTTTCTCTTGAATGTCACATATAATTCTTGCCGAAATGTTTATTTGCTTAATGCAACTTTTAGTGCCCTGGTAATTTATTTTCCTATTTATTAGCCAGGAGGAAGGAAGGCTACGTTTAGCCTCTGGCTCAAATGCAGAAAACAATACAGTGGCCCCCACTCTTTCATCTCCACAGCACGACTACATGCCTCACCTGCCACACACCTTCCCTGAGAAAAGCAAAGTCCGCTCCACTGCAAGGCCTCTCGCCCCTCCCACGTGGACCACAAGCTCAATTCCATACAGAAATCGGAGTTTTGTTTTCTTCAAAAAGAGCAGCCAATGAGGAGGTGAATTGTATCATCACAAGCCCTTGAGAGAGACAAAAGTCAATTCTCTGGATACAATGTCATTTCCAAATCGAATCAATTCTGTGAGTTGTGAGGGAATTCAATTCAACCAACACTAATTGAGCGCCTACTATGTGCCATGCCCTCTGCTGGGATGAGAATTCAGCAATAAATGAGCCAGCGTTCCGGCCCTCCAGGAACTGATGGCCAATTGGGAGACGGGAGTGTAAACCAATAATGGCAACGCAATCCAGGCTCTAATGAGGAAGCAGACAGAGCACTGGGGGAAGGCGGGAGGAGGTGGCACACTGCCCCAGGAGCCACCTGAGATGGCAGAGACAACATGGGATGCAGCCTCATATTGTCCCAGGAGGAAGTCTTCTGGGTGGCATTGAAGACACAGGGAGCCCATTATAAGGGAAGGCAGATTGGTACCTGGTATGCTATGAGGGGCACCAGGGGGCACCAGGGGAGAAGGCCTGGAGAGTGAGGCCGATCCTGGCAGGCCTTGGATGCTGCCCAAGAGCTTTGATGTCACTCATAGGCAATGGAGAGCCGATTGATAGTATGTGTTCAATGATTACGGTAGCAGCGTGATCGTGAACCAGGATAAGACTGGAACTGGGTGTGCTCAGCCAGTGTGGGGTCTCTGCAGTAAATATAGGTGCAAGATGGTGAGCTAATTGGAGGCAATGTGGAAGGAGTAGGGGTGAGGGAGCAGCAAGCATGGGAGAGATTTGGCAGCATTTCCATGTGGGACCATGACTGGTGATTAGATGTAAGGGTGAAGGCCAAGGAGTGGATCACGGATGCCATCCCTGAGTAGGAAACACTGACAAAGACCAGGTTTGTGGGCAAAGCAGTAGCCAGCTCTGTACATGTCAGGTCTGTCAGGTCTGTCAGGCATGGAGATGTCCAAGGGAAGAGGATGGCCAAGTGGTTGTTGGAAATGAAGGTCTAGGAAGAACCTGTCTGTGCCTTGGTGGGAACTGTGGGCTGGGTTGGGCTGGGTTGTGCTGGGCCGGGGCAGTGGGGTTTTTCCCATCCCAGAACTTTTGCCCTGGCCCTAAGGGGTGGTGCTGACTTCATCATATCCTCCCCACCACCACCACCACCACCAGCCCTTTACCTGCTCTGGTCAATACCAGCATGGCCCTGGCGTAAGAGTGATTCTTAGAACTTCCCTGAGGCTTTGCACTCCTTTCAGAAGTTAGAGAGGGAGTCACACTGAGGGTCTCCCAGGCCTCCAAAGGGCCAAGAGAGAAATGGGGGCACAGGCAGAAATCTTGGGTTCTTAGAAATCTAGAGAGAAGCCATAAAGAAGGGGGATTCATGAGCATCCCCTATGCCTCAGGGGCCCCCAAAGCCACCTCAGTTTTCCCTGGAGGCTCACCCACTCCAGACCCAGATGTCCCAATTGCCTGGACTGGTTGGCTGTGGTCAGAGGCCAGGTCACTCACCAAGGGTGGAGCAGGACGGTGCCAGCCTCCAGAAATTTGTGAAGAAGCCTAGGCACATTGGGGTCTCCTTGGGCTGACCTGAGCATGGCTAGGAGTGTGTACAGGCAAGACTGCAAAGTGCATGCAGCAAAGACAATGACAACAGAGTCATTCGTGCTGTGCCCTGCAGGGAAGGTTGGGGTTTTCATGGCCTGCTGGGAGGCAGCATAGACTTCAGAATCAGGCTAGGTCTGTGTCCCGATCCTGACTCTGCCACTGACACAGGTGACCTTGAGAAAATTGCTACTGATATAGGTGATCTTGAGAAAATCACTTAACCACTCTGCCTCAGCTTCTTACTCCGTAAAATAGAAATGATAATAATAGTACCTACCTCATACAATTGTTAGGAAAATTAAACGAGGTAATTACGTGAAGGACTTAGCACAGCATCTAGAACTTAGTAAGCACTCACTAAGTGGGTGGCTCTTATTTATTTTCTTTACCATCATCACCATTATCAAAGGGGCTACAAAAGCCAGAACGTGTGACCTTCCAGCCACGACCAGAGGAAAACTCTCAATTCCATCAGAGACCACTGTTGGTTCCAACACTGTAAAGGAAGATTCCTGCTATAAATTAATACACCAGACCCCAACCAGGCATGAAATTGCTCCAGGTTCTGACCACCTCCTGGTAGCCCATAAAGGCAGAGCCAGGTCCTACCCGCAAACCCACCAGCCCCTCAATAAGGGAAACCCCATTGCCAGAGCCAGCTGTCCCCTAGACCACAGCTCCAGCTCATTATTCTTCAAGTCCAGCCCCAGCCTGGAAGAAAAAAGCCCCTTTCTTTCTTAGGGACCCTTGTCATCAGTTGGGGTCTACTCACTGGACCTCCTTGACAGGAATCAGCTCAGAAGCTTCAGGGACCAACAGATTCTCCCTGGGAACTGATGGAGGAGTCCCTTCCCAATGCTCCTCCCCCCACTTTTGTGTTCACAAGCTCCCATTTCCTGAGCACCTACTAAGAGACACCCCATGCACACAGCAGCCAACTCTCCACATGCATGCCAAGGAACAGAAACTCTCAAATAACAAAGAACCCAAAAGTCATTGCTAATCACATTTGCATAATACGATTATTTTTTCAGCAGATTTACCTTCCTAATTACGTTTGTCTCCAGCCAATATTAAAGTGATTTTGCATTCCCCAAGCACATTGGTGTTGAGCGAAGCTGCTCCAGAGGTGGGCCGGGAAGTCATCCTGGAAGCCGAGATTTTGCCACGAAGTAGACAATTCCAAGTTGAGAAATTATTAAGACCCACCTACATTCCTAGGGGGGAAGAACAGCAGAAAATTGCATTTTTTACAGTGTTTTAAAGCTTACAAAGGACTTCTTCAAGCATCTCATTTGATCTTTACAATGACCCTGTCACCCACTATACAGGCAGAGAAACTGAGATTGCTTTTCTTAGGACATTTAGGAATAAAGCCAGGACTCCATCAGGACTCCAGATCCCCTGACTCCAAAGCTCTTCAGGGATGATGTCCCTAAGAGCTCCCCTAGTCTTAACTGTATAGCATCTACCACAGACGTAGATGCTGAAACACAGAAATATAATGGCCCAATTTGTTCATGTCTCCCTGTATCTGCACCCTTGGGTACTCCCCATTGCACACTGACTCTAGAATTGGTCATGTGACTTGCTTTCACCAGTGGGACAGTATAGAAAACACGTCACAGACACTTGCAAAGTGCATGCCTCATGCTGTTCTTGGATTCCTTCAACTACCACATGGGTAAGCTCAGGCTGGCCTATTGGAGGATGTGGGACACATGGGTCAGTCACCCTCATCACCCTGACCAACAGCTTATCAGCCACCAGACCCATGTGTGAGGCCACTGGAGTCCATCCAGACCAGCCAACACATAAGTGACTCAGCTGAGATCAGCCATGCTGAACCCAGACCACAGAGTCGCTCAGCTGCCCCTAAGAGCCAGGGTGGTTTGTTACACTGCAAAACTAACCCTAACTGATTGCTATGGACTGAATGTGTATGTCCCCCAAAATTTTCATGTTAAAACCTAACCCCCCAATGTGACAGTACTTGTAGGTGGATCCTTTGGGAGGTGATTAGATTATGAGGGCAGAGTCTTCATCAGTGGTATTAGTGCCCTTATAAAAGAGCCCAAGGGAGCCTCCTTCACCTTCCACTACTGAGGACACTGTGAGAGCACAGCTGTCTATCAACCAGGAAGAGAGCCCTCACCAGACATCCAGCACCTTGGTCTGGTATTTTCCAGCCTCCAGAATGGTGAGAAATAAATTTCTGCTGTTTGTAAGCTACCCAGTCTACGGGATTCTTTTACAGCAGCCGGAAGGACTAAGACATTGATACAGGGAGTGACAGAGCATCCCACTCCTCACTGTAGGAGGACTGTTGGCAGGACATGTTTCCATACACAGTCAGGCCTACACCCTCTCTCAGACTCTGCTATTCCTGAGCCCTGATCCAGCCTGGGCAATTTCTCCACCCCAAATATCTGGCCTTGCCGAGTTCTGAAGCTCTGTTCTCAGGACATATAGAAGGTGTGTTTCTTCATCCACCCTCTCATACTCCATAAACACTCTTCCCTAGTAAATCCCAATTACTGATGTGCTGTCCTCTCCTTACCCCTGTGGAGACCCCACATGAAGTCAGTCAGGATTTCAGAGACAATTGTCCGCGAAAATTAAGCTGGAGTTTGGAAGGCCCACAGGCAAATCCAGGCAGTCACCGGGGTCAGGTGCGCTGACACCAAACCTTCTCACTGGTCTTATGAGGTGGCCTTGCTTGAGGCCATGCCTGGATCCCTCTCTCCAGACAGTGCTGGCCCCAGTCGTGTTCCTGTAACCAGCTCCATCCTCTTAACAGCTTTGTGACTTTAGCAAGTTACTAGTGCCTCTGTGTTTTTGTTTGCCCCTCTGTAAAATGGGTATAATAATAGTACCTACCTCGTGGGGCTGTGTTGAGGTTTACATTTATATATGTAAAGAACTTACAAGAGTGCCTGGCACAAAGTAAGTGCTATGTAAGTACCAGTTCCCACTATACCTACTATGACGTCTCCTGTTAGAATTATGGTGCTCGTTATTCTTGTTTCCATGTCTCAGGGGAACGGGCCTGGAGGAGAAAGGACAAGTTCGTGCTTTTGGTTTCAAGCCCTTACATCAGCCTCCCGGAGGCCCCTTTAGCCTGCTCCCCAGGTTCAGGACACACAAAACACCCCCTTTCCCCTGCCTTCCTTTTCCTGGACCTAAGCCCAGCATGTGGTGTGTACTCATTAGTCAGAAGGTTGTTCTCAGATCTACACTCAAGGCTGGTTCTCATTCTGGGGCAAGGACAGCCTTTCTACCGCAGTTCAATCCCCAAAATCACTCACCCTTTCTGTTCTCACTCCTCCCTTTAAGGTCACAGTGAGGCAACTTGGCACCATAAACCTAGAGTCAGAGGGATCTGTTTCCAAATTCTGGCTGTCTCACTGACTAGTTGTGCAGGCTTAGGCAAATCACTTAACATCTGAGTTTAGGTTTCTTCATCTTTAAGATGGGTTATTGATACCTGTCTCCTACAAGTTGCTGTGAAGATTAAATGAGATAATATCCATATGTTAGTTAGAGTAATGGTAGCTGCTATAACAAATAAGCTCCACTATTTCAGGAGTTTTTCACAATACAAGGGTATTTCTCATTTACACAGTAGTTGAATGAGAGTTTCTTTTTAACTGGTGACCGTCCTTTGCACAGTGATTTGGGAGCCCAGGCTCCTTCCATCCCCTCTCTCTGCCATCCTCTAGGGGCACAGAGCCCTCTGCATCTAGCCAATAAACAGAAGAGCAAAGTTGGGGAGGACATCCCTTATTTTTATCCACCTTTACCCAGGTGGAACACGCATCATCTTCCTCATGTTCCGTGAATGAGACCAAGCCATGGGCAGCATTTAAATGTGAGGGGGTTAGGAATAGAAATAGACCCAGGCTGGGCAACACTGCCGGGCACAACCCTACAGTATGGAAGGGGAGCACAACCCCATGGTGGACAGACACCCGGTTATGTCTGTTGCAGACCACAGAGGCTTATAGAAATACCTTGGGCAGACAGGACGTGCTCAGCAAGTACTTACAGTGACTGCTGTGACTATTACTGCCACCACCACTACCGCACGGCTGCTATTACTATTTGATTAATAGTTGCTGTGTAAAATAGAGATAATAATACCAACCTCTTGGAGTTGTGACAAGCATTAAATAAGGATGTGAAAGCATAACTGGTACTACTTGTCTCTTTCTCTTTCCACATCTAAGTCCCCAACTGCCCCTAGCATGCTTCCTAAGGTCAGGCCCTCCTAGGCTGAGCATGCTTTTTTTTTTTTTTTTTTTTTTTTTTTTTTTTGAGACGGAGTCTCGCTCTGTCGCCCAGGCTGGAGTGCAGTGGTGGGATCTCGGCTCACTGCAAGCTCCGCCTCCCAGGTTCCTGCCTCAGCCTCCCGAGTAGCTGGAACTGCAAGCGCCTGCCATGATGCCTCGCTAATTTTTTTGTATTTTTAATAGAGACAGGGTTTCACTGTGTTAGCCAGGATGGTCTCGATCTCCTGATCTCGTGATCCGCCCGCCTTGGCCTCCCAAAGTGCTGGGATTACAGGCGTGAGCCACCGCTGCTCACCCCCCTTCTAAATAGAAAGCCAGGCCCCCACTGACCCCACCACCACCCCAAGGTTGTATAGGAAACTTGTCCTCCTCCAGCCTCCCTCACCCTCCAAAGAACCACTAAAGATAGTTTTCCAAGTCAAGCTCACCTGATATTTTAATGGTCAGAACAGAATGCTTTCTGCCTACTTCTCACCGGGGCTCAACATGGACTCAAAGTAAGAAAAAATGGAATTTCATACTTTGCCTCCCATTTTCCATGACTGTTTCTTTTCCAATAGAAATGATGTTTCAGGCAGCTGTTTTCCAAGTTCCCCCTCCCACCAGCCTACTCCCTCAATTTCTGTAAATTCCCACAACCTCCCACTTCTTTCTGGACTATTTACTATGGACAGGATTTTGCTTTCAGGAGCAGGTGTCCCAGAGGTGGCTCTCTCTAGGACCAGGTTGTTAAAATTTAGAGTAAGTCTTCTGCACAGGCAGTGGGGCTGTTCTCAGTCTTGTCCCTGATCTTATATTTTTATTACTTTACAGGAGACAAAAGGAAAAAGCTTGTGTTGGAAACACAGACACAAATAGAAGGGGTTGTTTGACAGGAAGGCTGGAGGAGAAACACAGAGAAGGATGGAGATTCATCAGACATGAGTTCTATCCTGCCCTCTTTCTCTAGGGTGATATAGTGGGTTTGAATTCTTATTCTGCCTCCATAGCTGTATAATTTTTATAAAATCATTCTACCTCCCCGAACCTCAGTTTCTTCATCTATAAAATGTGACCTGATGCTCACCTCATAGGATTATTGAGAGCATTAAACAGGCGTAATATTGCAACACAGCTGGCATGGTGCATGACGCTTAGTAGGGCAGTCAACAAATAACTCCTTTTGCCTTCCCCCCTCCAAAGGAAACACAGATAAAACTTTCTGAGTCTGTGGTTAACTGGAATTTTTCTAATAAAAAAAGAATTTTTTCTGAATGCAAACGTAGCATATTGTTAGTACCTTTTTAAGTACAAGAACATTTAGAATAGTGCTGGGCTATGAGGGCCACAGGGCAGGAAAGTAGCCACAGCTGCTAAAAATCTTACTATGTAAACTTCATATTAAGATGTTAATATCTGATTCTTTTTACCTGCAAAACAGCTATTTTATACAGTTCAACCTAAATCAGATAGTAGTAATGCTTATATAGTGCTTACTATACACTAAGCCCTATTCTAAGGATTTTAGTGCTCATTAAATCCTCACAACAACTCTGCAAAGTAGATACTACTATAAACTTACTTTGTAGCCAAAGAAACTTAAGCACAGAGAGGTTAAGTGCCTTGCCTGAGATCACACAGCTGATGAGAAGCAGAGCCAGGGTTTGAACCCAGATAGCCTAGCTCCAGAGGCCATGACTTAAGCCCCTATATTTTACTGCCTCCTGTATGAATAATCGAGAGGTTTCCTGAAAAGGAACATGTGTATCTACTGGTCTCTCAGGTGAACTGGGAGAAGGCTTCAAAGACAGGTTGGCAGGGATGCCTGGAGGGAGGAGAGAGTGTCTATCACCCAATGGTCCATCTGCAGTCCTGAGCTAGCCCCATCCTGGAAGGGTGGTATCACTCCCTCCAGAACAACAAGACAGGTACTGGCAAGCACCTGGCCCCGCTCTCTTGCCTGGGCATTTTATTTTCCTGTCCTCTGTGGCACGGCTCTCATAAAACTATTCATTTCTTAATTCTGATGGCAGAAAAGAATTTAATCAAATTGCTTGAATATGACGACAGCCTCCCGCTAAGCCAGCTGCCTCCCGAGGGTCATTGGGAGACAACGCCCTGTTAATATTTAGCTCCAACAGCAAACATTATGGCTTTCAATTTAGAAGATTATGCTTCTGGTTAGTTATGTATCATATGTGCGCGCGCGCGCTCGCTGGGTGGCTCATCTCATCAGTGCGGGAGCATTTTGCCAGGGTTATAAAAAATGCCATTTTCTCTGCGAGCCCTTTCCACTCAGTGATCCAGTGAAGTAACATCGGGATCAAAACCATGTTCTGAAAAATAATTGATCTATTTCAGCAGCTCACAGGCCTGCATGCCAGCCGCCCAAAGGAGCCATTTTCAGGAGAAGCCAGGGGCCCACGTGGGAGGGAGCTGCAGGAGAGATCAGTCTCTGCGGTGGTGGCGGTGGGGGGACGGGCGGGCGTGACGGAGGCTGTCCGTGGTGCTGAACCAAGCTATCCCAGGATTGCTTGGCAGTACGAATGAATGCTGGCTAATGGAACTGGCTGACTGTTTGGGGAGCTGTGCCTATTCTAGGGTCTTGGATCATTACATTTTCCTTCTTTCCAGAGCTCCCAATCCTCTCTCTAGTTCTGGGTCCACTTCTTCAAGTGCCTTCTCCCGTTCTTGCCCTGTCTGTCATCTGCTTTCGTCGTGAGGGGCTCATTCCTACCAGCCACTTCATGGCTTTCTTTGTTGTTGTTGTTGTTGTTGTTTTCTTTTTTGTTTGAACTTGTCCTCAGGATGGCACAGAGGCTCTAGTGGGTCTGAGAAGCTCAGTATTTAGGAAACACAGACCCTTCTCTGTCCCCTTTTTTCACCCTTCCTCTCACTCAATTTCTCTCTGTTGAATCATCAGGTCGACCGCTCCCCTCTCCCGCTCCCTGCCCCCCCTTCTCCCTTCCCGCCCCCCTCCCCCGCACCCTTACCCTCCTTCCCTCTCTCCCCAGCCTTTGCTCCTCCCCTCCCCTCCCTCTCTACCTCCCTTTCCTTCTTTTTTGGCTCTTCCTTCCTTCCATACCGCCTCCTTTCTCCTTGGCAATCTCTTTCCTCTCTTTCCCTTCAATCTTTCAATCTCAATCTCTTTCCCTTCTTCTCTCTTCTCCCCTCTTCCCTTCATAGTGCTCACATTTGCACATGCTCCCTCTCTCACCCCCTCCTTCATCTTCTCCCTTCATTTTATCTTTCTGTCCCTCTTCTCTCCCCACTTTACTCTCTTCTCCCATGATCTCAAACTTCTTAGGAACCCCCTGCCTTGCCTACTTCATCTCTCATCCTCCCTTCCTGGCTTCCTTCTTCCATCTGTCTTCCTCGTGGTCTCTCTCATTCTTTCCATCTTTTATCTCTTCATTTCTCCTTCTCTTTTGCCCTCTCTCTTCCTCTCTCCCTATTTGCTCCTTCCTCTATTTTCCTCCCTCACTCTCACTGGCTCCCTCCTTCTCTCTCTGCTTCATCTCATTCTCTCTCTCTCTCTCTCCCCCCCCCGCCTCCCTCTCTCCCCCTTTCCCTACCATCCCCCTCCCTCCATCCTTCCCTCTCTCTTCATCTCTCTCCCTCTCTCTTTCTCTCACTCCCTCCCTGCTCCCATCCTCCTTCTCTCCATCTCTCCTCCTCCTCCCATCCTCTCTTTCTCTGCACACAGCTCCCCTCCCTAGGAGCTCCCAGCTGCCTAGTAAATTCATTTCAGCAGCTATTAGGGATCAGCACCTGCCCCAATACTTGGTGGGGAAGATGAGTTTGAGATAAGATGGGCTGTTTCAATCTCAGCACATCTGTAATTGCATTACCATTAAATTGCACCATTTTCTAAAGGTGAGAGCCCAGGGCCCTTGTGCCGAGTCTTCTGCAAATCCACTGCCAAGTCCTGCATGATGTGGAGGCCCCCGGCAGAGGGGAGAGAAGATCCAGCTTGATTTGACCACCGTATTAATACCCTTTGTCTTCAGGGTCTCTTGTTTTCCATTATATTTCAAAGGTAAAAGGACCCCTGGGAATCATTATTTCCAACCCTCTCATCTCTCAGATAAAGAAACGGAAACTGAAAGAAAGAAAGGGAATTGCCCAAGGTCACACAGGCATGAGCCACTGAGTTTGCAGATGTCCCTCATTCTGCAGCCTTCCTATAATTTAGGACAAGATCAGGAAAAGGTGGGGGAAGAGCAAAAACTGGATCCAGTATTTTTAGGTTCCAGGAGGGGTGGTCTTGATCCAATATCCATGGTTCTGTCAGATCTACTGGACAGGCACATGGAGCAGAGGATGGCAACATAATAATTTCTTGTGTGTCAGGTTTGGCCAGGGACACAGAGAACAGGATTCGTTTGGCCTGGAAGAGAGGACAAAGCTGGCAAAAGCTGGATGGGAACTGGGCACATGAGAGTTCCAGACAGATGGGCTGGTATGCCGGGCAGGACTATACCTCCAGCTAGGACCTGGGGGACACAACTGGGAAATCCATGCAGAAGGCAGCACATAAACCAAGGCAATAAGACGGGCTGGCAGTGGAGATTGCAGTCCAGGAGTCCACCCAGCCTGTGCCTGTCTGGAGGCTGGTCCAGGCAGGAGCTAGGAAGGATAGAATCTGGCAAAATGGAGACCAGGATGGGCTAGAGCCTGAAGACAGAGGAAGCAGGGCACAGACACCACCTGGAGATAGGTTCAGGGGGAGGATCAAGCACACACTGTGGATTGGACATCAGGAAAAGCTCCAGACGGGAGCTTATCAGATAGAGCAGATGAGCCTGACCAAGGATCAGCATTAGTGCAGGGCACCCATCAGAAGAGAGTCAGAGGCCAGAGAGGGTATCATCTAGCACAGGGGTCTGTCCCCTGGGGCTCTGAGCTGCCTCACTGATGTTCTGCTTCCTGCTTTGGAAGGAAAATAGCTTCAGCGTCAAACAAAGCCCAGGATTGTCTTCCACTAGAGGATAATTCTCAGTGCCCAGCTACTGGCAAGCAGACTGAGAAAGGGTGGGTTTGGAGCTGGAGGGGAGAGCAAGGAGATCATTACCACAGTGGCCTCCAAGGATCCAGGAGCCCAGTGATGCCCACTCTCCAGCCCCAGCACCGACAGCAGTGGAAATTTAAACAGGCAGGTTGAGGCTGATCAGATGCACTTCCCCAGCACATCAGCCCCAGCTCCAGGGCTGGGAGACCAGCAAGCAAACAAACAAACAGCCAGCAAATGTGTCCCGGTGCCCCAGGGTCAGCCTGCCACAGTGGCTACACCTGCTTTGGCAAAGCATCTACTTTGAAGCCCAGCCTGATGCAGAGAGAGCGTGCAGCACCCAGGGACAAAATAGGGAGGTTTAATGATGTGAAATAGCTGTGTGTGTAATCTGGGTGCACTACGAGGGCTGCTGAGAGTCTCTAAAAGCTTCCCGGTCTGGCCTGCCTCTGAGGCCAACCCATTATGTTATTTGCTGCCTTGTGACCAGGATGAAGCCAGCCCCAGCTGGCTCTGGTTCCATCCAACCACCCTGCTCCTTTTCCCCAATTCCAGGCACCCATGGGGCCCCGCCACAGGTCAACAGGCACACGGCGAGCTGCCCCAGCAATTCTTACATAAATCAATTAGGATAAATGAGCTTAGTGGTGTATGATGCCCTTACTCCACTGCATGCCTTCCGAACTATTAGTTCTCTAGAGAAGATTAATTACGGGAGCGTCATGCTAATGCTTTTTTAATGGAAACTGTTATTTAAGTTTAAGAAGAGCAGGTATCAAATGTATAGGAGTTAGATACCTGTTATGAGCATCTCAAATCAGGGGCGATGGATGGAACCAACCTCAGAATGGACCTGTTGAAACAGATAGAGAGCCAATGACCACTCTGAACCTTGTGGAAAGTTACAGTGAGTCCTAAAAGGTTTTCCCGGAATTGCATGTGTTTGTGGAATTAACCTTATAACCTACTTGAACAGGCTTTCTTATGTTGGTGGAAACAGAGTAGGAAAATGGAGAAGGAGCTATTGAAGGGAAGAGGCTGGTTGGCCTTAAGTAAGTTAAGAGTAGGGTATAGACAGAAAGGGCTCATTTGATTTGTGGTCATATTAATAGAGGTATAATACCATGAGTAAAGGAGGTTATCGTCTTGTCCTAGATAGTCCAGTTCATGGAAAGTCACATTTCCCAGTTGCATTAACCTGAGGGAGTACATGAAGTGGACAGTGACTAGAATGATGAGAGACCTGAAAACTGAATTCTATGATGGTTGCAGGTAGCTCCTGGGAGAATTCAGCGGGAGATGAGGATGAGAATGAGTGTGGCAAAGCTAAGGATCATTTATTCTCTAAAATAGTGGTTCTCGGCCCTGGCTGCTTCTTAGAATCATCTGCGGAACCTTTAGGAAATACTAATGGCCAGACCTCCTCCCCCAAAATTTTTATTCCATTCATCTGTGGTGGGCTCAAATATTAATATTTTTAAAGGCCCCTCAAGTGATTCTAATGCACAGCCAAGGCTGAGAAACACTGCCTAGAAGGATGTCACAGGTAAAGAGGGGTGGGTGTTTATTTTGTGTGACTACAGCGAACAAAACAAGTAAGGGTGGGTAGAAGCTTTTGTGGGCTGTATGTGCCCGGGACTGAGGCCAGGAAAGGCAGGCACTCTAATGGAGGAAAAGCCACACCAACCTCCTGCCATGCCTGGCCCCCACCCACCTCAGAGAAAGCAGAATCTATGGGGTCTTTGGAGGCCCAGAAGGTTGAGGGGCAGACAGAGGATGCCCTGTGACATAGACTGGGCAGGAGCTGTGCACTGTGTGGCGCTGGCTTCTCTAATCCAGAGATTCTGCACAGCCTCATGTCCTCATCTGCCAAATGGGAACAGCAGCCCCTGTGATGTCCCCTGCCGTGGGGTGATGGTGTGTAAGAAGTTTGGAAATATTTCAAACCCAAGTAGGGCAAAGCCACCTTCCTTCCCCGTGGGGATAAAGCACGATCCCCTAACACACATACACCCCTACATGCATACACAGACACACAAATATGTGCACCCCCAGGGACACAGACATGTGAGCATCTTCATTTACACATAATGTACAAGTAGCACTGTGTTTGTTCCTGTTGTCATCCTCAAGCCCCTGGTAAAATGTTGTTTAACTATTCCAGTCCGTTCTTAACAAGGCCAGACTTTTCATGCTTGGGCCAAATAACAAATCAGGAACAGGGTGCCCCTTAACACACGTAGAGGGCACTTGATAGATGTTTGGTGAAGGAAAGAAAAGAAATTTAATAAACGAATGGGTGACCTTGCACTGTAATTCCATCTTAACAACTCACATAAATAGAACGCTTTACAGCTGACAATGAGCTTTGATACATTTTCTCTCAAATAATCCTGTGACAGGTATTAGTATTTCCACTTTACAGATGAAGCACCTGAAGTTCAGAGAGGTTAAGTTACTTTCCCAAAGACACACAGCTAGTAACAGAAGAAGAAGTGGTAGAGCAGAGAGCTGGGCACACACCTCCGGAGTTACATAAGACCCCAGTTACCCATCCTGAAGTCCTCTGCTCCCCACCCCCGGAACCTCCCCCATCTTTTTCAGTTCCATTACCCTGCCTTCTTTTCTCCATAGCTCTATTACTCATATGTTTATCTGTTACAGTCTGTCTCTCTCACCAGAAAGTAAACTCTAGGAAGACAGGAACTCTATCCTTCTTGTTCACTGCCGCATGCCCAGTGCCTAGTAGAATGCCTGGCACACAAATGTCCTGCTGAGCAGTGATTCATAATTGGCTGAGGGATTGCTAGGGGGTTGGGGGAGATGACAGCAGTGGGGGGAGGTATTCATAGTGACACCTCCCACTCCTCCATGTTCTCCTTTGCAAAGGTTCAGTAAACAAATGTCAGGTTCATTGCAAATTATTTCTGCCATCTCTCATACAATGGAGTTAACAGCTGGCTGAGCTACAATATATCAATTGTATAAATTCCGAGGGCATTTTCATGTTTCAATCTCCTTATGTATTTCTAGTTGACCAAACTTGTTCAAATTACTATTAACTGCAATCCCATCACCTGGCTCACTGGGCAGGAAGGCAGTGGCTTGGGTTTAACTCCTGAAGTGCCATGCATGGGACAGGAAAGTGGTCTGGGGCTAGCAAGGGAGGTGGAGAAGAATCTGCTGTTAAAAGCCAATCAGTTGCTTTAATCTGTAGATCTCATTCTCCATTTTCCATGGGGGCTTCTGTTTGACCACCTTCCATCTAACTTCTGTATCTTATCAGATCCTTCTCTCTTGGGACTTTAAGGCCATTTCCTGCTACATTTCCACCCACACCAATGACTGATAGAACCCCCTCCTGAAATACAGTCCCCAATTCAAATTCAAAGCCCCATAGTAGACAGACACAAAAAGCGGGGATACTGAGAAAGTGGGTTTCTATTTGGACAAAGTTGTAATCCCGTGGGAGTCAGGGGAGAAGGGGAATGTAAAAGCTCTTTAGGGCTGAGACAAAGACCTGCTCATGCGTCACTCAATCCCTAGTACCTGGCACAAAGGCTAGCAAGTAGCAAGGACTACAAAATATTTATTGAATGAATGAGTGAATGAATATAATACAAAGACCATGGGTCTTGGGATCAGATAACTGACCTCAGTTCCAGCTTCAACCATTTTGTGATCTTGGGCCAGTCACCTAACCGCCCTGAGTCATAGTTTCTGCATCTTTAACATAAGCACGGCATTCAGAGTGGGAAGGTGTCACGTGACCCCTCTCCCAATTTTCCAGAGGGAGAGAAAAATCTTGTAACTGTCAGTAACATGCTAGAACTGTCAAAAGCACACAAAAGAACTATGCCAATTGTGAAACAGAAGTCACAGTTCTGTTTATTTTGCAATGATGTAAACTTAACAATTTTTCCTTACAGATAAAAAATGCAAACCTTTCACTGCTATATCCAAGAAATCTGTAAACTTCAAACATTGTAGACCTGCCTGTCTAAGGTAAATGAAACACAGACAATGTTAGTGGTGTCCTCATGAGAGTTAGCCCAGCCTGGGGTAGGGGTTCCCTTCCCTGTGAACAAAGAGGGGTCATTCAGAGAAACACAGCTCACATCATCCAGTTGGGGAAAAGCTTCCTAGAGTAGAAGACAACCAAGTGAACCCAGGGAAATGGGCAGGATTTGACTAAATGGAGATGGAGTTGGGTGGGGTTATTATAGCCCATGCTCTCGTGATATCAGGCCAGTGGAAACTGAGGCTAGTTGTTGGATTCTGTCCTATCTCAGCCCCAGCCCAGCCTTGCTTTGAGAATAACAACATCAGCAATAACAATAGTCCATTTGTTCAGCATATAGCCCAACTTAACTTAGGCACCATGCTAAGTACTCACACCTAGTATCTCATTTAATCTCCATGACTTACCCACAAAATAAATATTATTGCATTCTGACATGGCTCCCGATGATGCAGACCTAGTGACTTGCTTCTAAAGAAAAGAATATGGCAAAGTGGATGGGATGCCACTTCCAAGAGTAGGTTATAAACAACTGTAACTTCAGTTTTGTTTGCTCTTCTCTCTCTCTCTCTCTCTCTCTCTCTCTCTCTCTCTCTCTCTCTGTCTGTCTCTCTGTAGGTGTGTATTGTGTGTCTGCCAGTCTGTCTATCTGTCTCTCTCTCTGGCTCTTCATGTACTTACTCTGATGAAACAAGCTGGAGAGGCCCATGTGGCAAGAACTGAGGTCAACCTCCAGGCAGGAGACTGAGACCCTTAGTCCAACAGCCCTTGAGGAACTGAAACCTGCCAATAACACGTGCATGAGTTTGGAAGCAGATCCTTCCCCAGTGGAGCCTTCAGATAAGACTACAGCCCCAGTGACACTTTGACTGCAGTCCTGTGAGACAGCCTGAGTAGAGGATCCATTCAAGCTGTGTCCAGATCCCTGACTCATAGAAACTGTGAGATAATCAATGTGTATTGCTTTCAGCTACTAAATTTTGGGGATATTTGTTACTCAGCAATAGGTAACTAAAACAATGATTATTCTCAGTTTGTGGATAAGGAAATCAAGGCTCAGTGAAGTTATTAAGCTTGCCTGGGCCACACAGTGAGTAAGTGGAGGAGCCCACATTACAACCAAAGTTCATCTGACTCCAAAGCCCATGTTTCTATCTACCAAGAACCCTCCCCCTCTCTGGAGCCCAACACTCCAGAAGCCAACTGGCCTCCCAATCACAGACTGTGAGACTCCACATCGGCCCCTTAACCTCCTGTCCACAGCCCTCCTGTTCAGGGGCTTGGCTTTATTGGATTTTGAAGCTTCAGTCAGTCCCTAGTGAGAGCCAGTGGAGGCACATAGAGTCCCATGACTTCTGGGTCCACCTTGGGTGGACATACTGTCTTTCCTCTTAGCCTGGAGAAGATGGTGGTATACAAGAAACAGTGGCAAAGAAAGAGACAAGGGAGGAAAATGTGGAGGTCATTTGTAAAGAGCCTCCCTCCACATTATCAGACTTTTCCTGGCACCCTCTCCACCCACCTTCCCTAGTCCCATCCTCATCAGCAGCTCCTCAAGGCCTCCAGTGGTCTCAGCCCCATTGCCACCCTACCCACAACACTTTGCTGCAGGTCTGAGCAGGAGAGGACCTCCTGTGCCTGGCTCGTGGCTCTTTCCCCAGGACCCAGCACAGGCCTAGCCCAGAGCAGCTGGAAGGTGGCATCCTCCAGGGGTCCAGAACCCAAGGAGATGGAGTCAGCCAGACTGGGTTCCAACCCCTACTCCACCATTTGTGCTGTGTGACCTTGAGCAACCTCTTCAGCCTCAGTTTTCTCCCATCCAAGTACTAACC